GAAGTTGCTTATTTGTCTCACGATTCATTTTTATCATGTATGCTTGTTGCACATGCTTGTTTAACACTGTTAACTACAGAGCATATTGTTATAATCCTCGAACTTTGTATTAAGCAGTAACAGAAGGAAGAGGTTGGCAGGTTTATCGCCTAGGCACTTGTGTGTTCAATACTGCATGTGTACTGAACTTGCTTGCTTACATTCTCAAGAGATACCTTTTATCGCCTAGGCACTTGTGTGTTCAATACTGCATTTGTACTGAACTTGGTTGCTTTATCTTATACACTTAATACATAGGCGCTTGTGTGTTCAATACTGCATGTGTACTGAACCTGCTTGCTATACACATGTATCTTCCAGTTTAAGGTTGTTGGTATTGTTTGCTGTAAGTCTATGGTGTTGAAACATAGTTTCAAAATAAATGGTGGCCATTGACTCATTGTAATCCTAGAATGCACAAGACATATAAAAATAACAGTTCTTATTTGGCCTTTATACTAAGTTGGACTGTTCAGAGTTTCTAGATACAAAAGATGTTGGTTTAATCTAATCATGTCCATAATTTGCAATAGAAAATCGTTTTTCTTAAAAATATGCTGCTGAAAACTAAGTATTGGTGGTGCATTTACTTGTTTATGGCAGGAAAGTTGTTTAATTCAAATTAACTATTTTTTCTTGAACAGCACCGAACTGGGGGTTTAGTCATATGGAGATCGGGAAGTGTTATGGTGGTTTACCGTGGAAAGAACTATGAAGGCCCCCTACCTAAATTAAATCCAGATACATCATCTGTAAATATAGCTGCAGTAAATAATGGGAATGATGCTGGTGCATCATTAGAAACTATTTCACCACAAGTAAAAGCTCTGGAACAATCTAGGAATCTGACAGCTGAGGAAGTTGAATATAATGATCTTCTTGATTGTTTGGGGCCTCGATTTGTTGATTGGTGGGGTACTGGAATTCTTCCGGTTGATGGTGATTTGCTTCCTCAAACAGTTCCTGGTTTCAAGCCACCATTGAGGTTACTCCCAACTGGGATGCGGTTGGCAGTGACTAATGCTGAGTTGACCACTTTACGAAAACTGGCCAAGTCACTTCCTTGTCATTTTGCTCTTGGTATGGATTATCCCTTCTTTAGTGCTTATTAATATCTCTTCCATAGTATGACGTCAATATTATTCTGGAATGTGAAGGTAGAAATAGACATCATCAGGGCTTGGCAGCTGCTATAATTAAGCTTTGGGAAAAGAGTTTAGTTGCAAAGATTGCTGTAAAACGAGGAATTCAGAACACTAACAATGAGCTGATGTCAGAGGAGTTGAAGGCACTTTTCTTTCTCATCTCTTACATAGTCGTTATTTGCCTTTTCTTCTATTAATTGTCATTTCAGCGAGTTTGTTCTGTGCAATTATGTGTCTGTTTATTGTTCCAATTCTTCTACAGCTATGTACTTGTTTTTACTGATTTTTCTTCCTTGCTGAAAAAGAATTATACTTCCTATGAGACAATTTGAAGTGATCAGTGCTTAAACATATACTTCTGTGATGATATTATTTACTTAAAGATTGACCTTTTACAATGTATGATTTCAAATATTTTTGTGCATTAGTTATATGGACTTCTAAATCTTAGTAAACTTATTGTCATTAAAGGGCATATGATAAAAAATTGCTAATGGTATTCCTTTGATCTTGGACAATGACAAACCACAAAGATACCATGCTGTTTCTTTTATTCTATTGGCAAGGGTGAGAACTAAATAGCAGCAATTTTGGGTGCAGTTGTGATAATTATTGTATGAATGCCTAGGTTTAGCTGTAAAGTGCAAGGATGCGTTAAATTGGATGGATCTAGGATATTTAAGTTTCTGTACATTTAACATTTTTTTTTTTTAATTTTTTAATTTTGTATTTATTTTTTATTTTTTTTGGCAGCAGGATGTACAAGATAAAAAATAAATAAAATAAAAACAGTACATGACTACTCCTTATTCCTGGCGTTAGGTACTAGGCTTTGGGTCGTCTTAACACTAATACAAAGGCACTTATTATTATAACTAACATTACAACATTGAGAGCTAATAGCACTAACACAATCTTGGATTCTTGAAGTTGCTTCTTCCTTGGATGATTGTAGAGATCCATTGAGGGGGGAGTAACGTACTTCCTTTTTTCATCAGCTTGGTACCTGCACTTTAAACCATGGTTAGAAGGGAATGAGCGATCACCTATGTGATGGGTTGAACATCTTCTCGTGTGGCATCTTGTTGTATGTCGGGTCTTGACATTTGAGCTAGTCTTTTGAGTCCTTCTCTTAGAAGCACAAAGTAGATGCTGGGTCAGCTTCTTCTGTATGGTGGATGCCAATTGAAACTCAGTTACATCTTGAGCCTTGGCTTCATCTGTAGGCTTTGCTTCTTGTTGAGCCTTAACTTCTTCCACCTCACTGACTTCATCACTCTTGTTAGCTGAGCCATTCTTCGATGATGGAATAACTCTGACTTGGAAGTAGGTTCCTGACCTGGAGTTGAAACACTTGATAGTCTTTCCTTGTTTCATCAGAAGATAATCCTTTGTTGAGATTCTCTAAGAAAGGAGCTCTACCTTTTACGGTTTTGAAACCGATATTTAGGCTCCACAAGATGATTGTTTTCATTGCCTTCTTTAGTAGAAGGAGAATTAAGGTTATTCTTAAACTGATTTGAAGATTCTTTATCTAGACCACCTGATGAGAGGCCTGGTCTTGACATTCCTGAACACAGCTTGAAGTAGGGGCTTGTTCCAATTCCGGATTTGGATCACTTTCAACTTGGTGGCTTGCATAAACCTTTTCACACTTTTTTGTTAGCTTCTCTTGTGAAGGGAGGCTAGTTCCAAGAGCATTTGGGATAATTCCTGGATTAACTACCTTCTGACCACCAAAATATGATACTCTTCACTGAACCCAACTTCTTGACCACTACTTGATTTGAGGGTTCAAGATTGTAAGCGGCCAATACATTCAAATGGGCTCAGTGTATCCCGGAAAGGTGCTGTTTTCGCAGAGTATATCCTAACAATTGAGCAGCTTGAGCTATCTGTTTCCATAGCAAGACTGGAAGCACTGAAGAATGATACCAAAGCATAACATGTCTGTTTCCTTGTAAAGTTGCTGGTTTCGGTGTCTGTTCTAGTAATTGTGTCAGAATGTGAGAAAGTTGATGCTATTGAAACTTGGGAGCACAATGAGAAAGAATTTTCTTTTCTAATTGAAATGGTATATTTCCTTGTAAAGTTGCTTGTTTAATAGTAATAATGTTGTGTCTTGATTAGATTTTTTTTTTTTATCACAAAAGGGAACTTTGGGAAAGACCTAAGGAAGCTGCTCAGTACATCACTGTGATGGAAGAACACCAAGGGAATGGATTTATAAGTCTGACTAATCAAATTTATAATTGAAGAGCATCATGATGGATATGTAGTGCAAGTATGCAGCAAAATACAAACCATTAGTAGAAGGTAGGGGCTGAAGAAAAAATCGATTAACATAATGTCATAATCATTGAAAGCACCTCAATACTGATATGTTGATTAGCAGTGGTGTTCTTCTACGTTACTTTAGCTATCTTTTTTCCCTTTAGTGCGATCATTGAATTTGGTTATCCTCCACCTTCAGCTAAAATATTTAAAGCACAAGTCTTTGCTGCAGTAGTACAATAGAATTGATGGACTTTGCTAAATTAGTGTGAAAGAACGAAAATCACTTGCTGCTAATTGTTGCCTCGTAATTTCCCACACAATCCCTTTGCTATATTGATTTTGTTATGAACTGGTTTGCAGTTTGCCCCTATATTTTATGGGACTAGACTAAAGTTGGGTTGGTTTCAGATGGAACATATTTGCTTAAACGTGTTTAAAGCATTGGCCAGTTCTAGATGGCAGTGATCTTTCTCAGTTTCCCTGAGAGAACTTTTAATCTTCAGTTCTGGAACATTATTTTTGTTGCCATGGACAGTAAAATAAAGCTCTCAAAAACAGTGAAAATAACCTATTTGGCTGAAGGTTGGCTCATAACACCTCTTACAAGGCTGTGATGCTGGGTAGTAATGTTTATACGTATTAACTGCCCTTTGATATTAGGTTCTCTTTTCATATACTCTTCATTCCTGCATCATTGTGCAATAAACTAATGTTAGGGAAAGGGGTATATTGGGTAGTGCAATATAATTCAACTAGTAGTGTCTTGTAGAGAAAGATATGGGCGGTTTTTCAAGATGTAATATTATGAATAAGAGAAGATTAGGAAGGAATTGGTGAGTTGAATGTTGATCGAGTATGTTGGGTTAGCTTATTTAAGCTAAAATAGAATAGAATCCACCTCTTGAAAGTTGAATTATCACTCTTAATTTCTGTAACTCAGTTTACTAATCAATAGTATCTTCTTCTTCCCTAATTTCTTCCATTAATGAAGTTTAACCTGTCTTAATTCACAGTTCATTGGTTTATTGGCTAATTGGTCTTGCTACAGGCACTCACGGGAGGCACCTTGCTGCTGCGAAACAAGTATTTTATTGTTATATATCGTGGAAAAGATTTCCTTCCACGTAGTGTGGCTGCTGCTGTTTTGGAAAGACAGGAACTCACAAAAAAGATCCAAGATGCTGAAGAAACTGCACGAATTGGTTCATATGTGGCACCTACAACTTATGAAGCTGAAGATGCCCCTGCTGGTACACTAGCTGAGTTCTATGAAGCCCAAGCCAGATGGGGCAGAGAAATATCAGCTGAAGAACGAGAAAAGATGATAGAAGAAGCTTCCACTGCTAAAAGTGTGAAAGAGGTCAAGCGAGTTGAGCATAAATTAGCTCTGGTAAGCATGCTGATCTTATTATAAGGCTGACTAGACTGCATAATTAGAAGCTGGACTGCAAAAGATGTGATAAATCAAATTTTGGCACATATCATATTAGCTGTCTAAGAAACATGAACTCCGTGATCTTTGTGCAAGTCGCATTTAGTGTCAGTTTTGCTTCTCATTGAAGATATTTATCCCTTCATCTTAGAAACATGTCATCTTTTGAAATTCAAATTGTAAAGTGGGCATTGTAATGGGTTTACTCCGTGTCGTTGAGTAAGTGTTCTACGTATAAAAACTTTATGTATAGGAGATGTTTGTACGAGATGTTAGGGAATATAATTTTTTAATTTTAAAGCGCTTTTCTTTTCTGACATAGAAAAAGGGCCAGATCAGTGTTAATTTGGTGCAATTAAAGGATGACATTGATTTAAGATATAATATCATATTAGTTTGATATGAGTACAAGGTCTGAATATTGTGTGAAGATATGAGAGGATATCATGTGTGTTGATATTCCTCCCTACTTTACTAGTTCTTTGTCATGTTGCCTTTAGTCATCGATTCCTTGCACCTTTTTGTGGTCTGTTGTGGTGCAGCAGGACGGATTGCTCATAGCTCATTTTATTTGATTCAAATCTAGAGTGTAGACAAGTCAATTATCAAGTAATATTAACTTTATACAAATTTATTTGGAGTTCCAACTCTTCCAAGGCCATTTTCCCTAAACCAAATGTGTTTGCTTCAGAGTATTGCACATGTAATTGCATCTAAAAGCCTTATATCATTCTTTTCATGGTCCTTTTTTAGTGGAGTGTGATTAATAGCTCAATAAATTGTGATCAATTTATTCACCCACCTCTATTTCAATTTAAAGTGTTTGGGCTTCTATTGGTAATCAAGAGTGCTTGCCTAATCTTGCACCGGTTGGTTTAATTATGAGCTCGAGTTTTATTCTTCGCTCCTATGCGTTCTTATTGTAATAAAATTGTTGGTGCTCACTGATCGTGTATTGTGTGTTGGTACTGAAAGTCCATTTTGATGTTGTGTTAGATACTATTGATATATAACGGCACAGGTCTATGATATTCATTCTGTAGGGTTCCATTTGTAGATCGTTCTTGTTCATAGTCTTTTGGTTTTGAAAAGCCAGCAACTTTTTGAACAGTTGAATAGCATATAGAACTTAAGTGAAAAAGTGCATACTTTGTTTTGGCTTCTATAAGTTATTGTGACCTTCCTTCCCTAATGAATCAGCCAAAATGTAGCACAGGATTGGAAATGAGATGTAGAATGAGAAAACCTGATTTCTCAAAATTAGTAACTGCAAAGCTGTAGTTAATAATTTAAAAATATTTTTCCCTCAAAAAAAATTGAAAATATTTTTGATCAATTTTTATCATCCTTTTCTTGTAAATAAATTTTTTTTTAAAAAATGCTACTTTCAATAATCAGTACCGATTCAATTTTATTTATTTATTTTTGTAATAAATGATATTTTCTCTATTTTTTAAATATTGCACAACTTGCCTTTTAATGAAGTTTCACAAAAATTGCGCCATAACCATTTTAGGAAATAAAATATTTGTGTTCACACTAAAAATACCCAATATTCCCCTACTTTTAACATTTCATTCTTTAGTTTATATTTACATCACATGGATAATTTTGTACTTTTACCCATCTCTCTCTTCCTGTTTCCCACTACCAAAAAAAGTGTACCCAACCTCTATGGTGCAATAATAAAAGAACGGAGGAAGTATACATAATGTTTTTAAGTGCATAGTAATAAAGCTAAAAGAAATCATCTGATTTTATGTGCATTAAATTATACAAGTCTAAGTAATAAGTCAAGGCCATAAGACTTAAAATCTCATTAATCTGTCACATGTGATGATGTGATCACTCACATCTTCCTCTCCCCCTCTTCTGGTCAAGACAACCCCCTTGCACTCATCTTGAGCAATCAGCCCATATGTGATATGACTCCTTGGTGGCTATCAGAAGCTATTGATGGTGACAATCAACAAGTCAGCATTGAAAGGTGGATATAGTGAGTGGAGAAGAGATAGAGAAATCTCGTGTGAAGTTTCTTGGGTTTCACTTTCCCTTCCCTCTAATAACCCCTTGTTGGCACAACTGTGTTTCAAAATGCTTCGGTGTAGAGATTATTTTGACGTTAGACAATGAATCATTTGTATACTTGCCTACCCGTTTTGTAGACTTTTCATGTGCATTTCATCTGGTCTCCGGATCCCAAAAAAACAAGTCTCCTAATATTTCCATGCTTCATAGGTGATGATGAATTGTAATATTTATAGTAGAAAAACAACTATTACAACAATGGTGAAGGCGATGATAACAACAATAACACTAACAATATTGTTGACACTAACTAGCTAAGTTGATTAAAGCCTTGGGGTTGTTGTATTGATTCGATTTAAGTTAATGCACTGTGTGGCTCTCTCAGCACAAACATGTTCCGTCAATATTGAAGGTTAAATTACTTTATTTTAAGAACAATATATATTGGTGTTTTTTCTAATTTTCTACGCATGACCAGGCCCAGTCAAAAAAGCTCAGAGCAGAGACGTTGTTAGCAAAAATAGAAGCATCAATGGTACCTGTTGGTCCGTCTGATGACCTGGAAACAATCACTGATGAGGAAAGGTTTACTTTTCGCAGGATTGGCTTAAGCATGAAAGCATACTTGCCTCTTGGTGAGAAATCCTTATTTTATACATAAGATGTCTTGTTTGCTGTCAAGCCATCAGCAAATATCAGATGTAGTCTGTATTTCATGGAAAAATTGCTTTCGTCATATGTTGTGATTATTGCGTAGGTATCCGTGGTATTTTTGATGGTGTAATTCAAAATATGCATTTGCATTGGAAACATAGAGAACTAGTCAAGCTAATCACCAAACAGAAGACCCTTGCCTTCGTAGAGGAAACAGCTAGACTATTGGAGTATGAAAGTGGTGGCATATTGGTCGCTATAGAACGGGTGCCAAAAGGTTATGCTATCATATATTACCGTGGAAAGAATTATCAGAGGCCTGTTAGCTTGAGGCCAAGAAATTTGTTGACAAAAGCAAAAGCATTTAAACGTGCAATTGCAATGCAGCGGCATGAGGTTTGATCCATATGTTTCAGTTTTTTCTTCCTAAAAATTGTAATTTCTGCAGAAAATTTATGATTAATTTTCTGTTTCATGTGGTAATGAAATTTTGCAGGCCCTTAGTCAGCACATATCTGAATTGGAGAGTAGCATAGAACAGATGAAAAACAGTGTAAGTAGTAATAAACTTTATTAACTATAAGCATGAGGTCATAAGTTATCGACTTTTTGCTCCTATTTTAGATTTTTGTAAACTACTAATATGCCATCATTAAACCAAATGTCTTATCAACACAAAACAGCGCCTTCTATTTATTTATTTTGTAAAAAACCAAATGTTGTTTTCTTGCAGGCTCATTTTTCATAACATTAAAAAATACTGTTATAATTGTTGTTTAAGAAATCGAAAAGTCTGAACACTAATTTATAGATTATTGATCTTTTGTATAAATGTTAACATTTAGGCAGGTATTTTTTGAAAGGGAAAGGGAGAGAGTTTAGGAAAGGGATAGAAGGAAAATGGAAAGTTAAAGATGTTTCATTTGATATCATATGTTGTTTGATTGTAGAAATAAAAATATAACTAATCAACCATTCTTTCTTCTTCCTTTACTCACCAGTCACCACTAACCTCACCAAATCATTAGTCACCATCATCCTATCTTTTCCTTCTCTCTTCTCTCATCATAAACTCCATCTTCTTTTTCTCACTGCCTACCTCCCTCTTTATCATGTCAACGAGGACCTCCTTCAACATTGGCAGTATGTTATCGTCCTCACTTATATTGCTCACTGGATTTAGAGATCTAATTCAGTCATTAAAACAAAAGATCTAGAGTTTTTATGGTATAATTAACCATCTAAATCCATAATTATCTATACGAATGTAGTGTTTTTTTCCCCCATTTTACTCTCAAAATCCTTTTTCTTCTCGCTTGCTTTTTGGTAGTGGTGAATTGATGATGGTGGTGGTTTGTGTGGCTGTTGGTGGGTTTTGTTGAGGTAAGTGGGTGGTTTTCTTTGAGGAATTCTGTTTGGTGACCAATTGGTGGTGATTTGGATTGGTAAGTCAACTCAGTGGTGGTGCTAGTAGTCGGGGTAATGGGGTTGAGAGGTGACAGCTTAAGTTTGTGGTGGTTGGAGAGTGGAGACCTTGGGGTGGTAGGTTCGGCAACAGGTGATCTCAAAGGTTGTGGGTGGCTGGGGTGTACAAAGTGTCGATAGCTAGGGGCAATGAGATTGGAAAACTTTCATGCGAGGGGTGGGGGTGGGGGTGGGAATGGTGAATCATTGTAGAGGAAATTAGGGGTGAGGAATTTGACTTAACCAACAGCTAAGGAAAAAAAGTCTTGTGATTCTCTTACCCTTTGATGAAGACCACAACCAAATGCCCACTTAAAGTTTTCTGTGCAGCATATAGTAAGCAATATTATTATTTATGTAAAACTGATTATCTCCTACTTTTTTCTTACTCCTACTCATCTTGTACTCCATCTCTCTTACTTTATCCATTTCTTGTTTTGTTAATGGTCATTTTGTTATTTTGGAACTTCGAGACTGATAACAAACCTCTTAGACCATCTCTAATGGTGAGACTTGAGTGAGTTTTTTTAGGAGAGAGACTAGAGAGAGTAATTTTCGCAAAGGATACCAATAAGTTGGTATCTAAACTTAGCAACTCCAAAATAAAGTTGCTAAGTTTAGATACTCAACTTTGAGTCTCATTTGACAAAAAGTGTGGGCCCTTATCAATATTATAATATGTTTTGTAATTTACTTGTATGTAAGTTTTAATTTTATTTTTTTTCTAAAAAACCTTAAAATATGATTTGGTGGACCATTGATAAATTAGACTTCACATGAGTTGCTAAATTGAGAAGTGGGTTGGGTGTCACCATTAGAGGTAAAAAACAACTCATTTTGTATTTCAATACTCAAAGTTGAGTCTCACCATTAGAGATGGTCTTAAATTTTAATCATTTTCATTTACTTTTCAATCTATTTTGATTCTGTTAAAACAATTTTGTTTAATTTAATTTAACTATTTTGTATCGATTTGTTTTATTTTGAAACAAAATGTATGAAAACTAATTTTAAACAGCAATTTATCTAAGATATTTAAAAATTTATTGTCAATGCTTCAATTTGATGATTATCAATGTGCTTTGTTGCAAGTAGTTTAAAAGATTTTCTATATACACGCTTTTGAGTTACTACTAAATACTTTTATGTTTATCTGCTTTACTTCTAAGGAACAAAATTGGTTCTCAATTATAATTTTAGACTTGTTTCTTATTGGAACTTGATCGGGTGGAAAAGATAGATGGGTTACATATATAGCTATTCAAAGCTTTTGAAGAACTCATTTTAAGATTATCAAATTCAATATTGTATTTTTTGTGACAGTTATAGGTCTTCTAAATTCAGCTATGTTTATAGTTATATAAATTTTTAGACTAATCCCTTATTAAACTACAGGGTGATAGTAAATCTACAGAAGATGGAAAGGCCTCCAGCTTTAATGTTGAATTTGGTTCAGACTCAGAAATCAGCCATGTGAGACATTTTACCTCTCCGCTTTGAGTGACTTTGTGTATATTACTTCCATATATTTGGGGCTTTCACAGAAGCCAGGAGGGTGAGATTGGGGTAGTAAAGTGGGGTAAGTGGGTTAGTTAGTGTCTTATAATAAGTTCACATTCTTCATCTACGATATTTTGCTTGTGTTGCAGGGTCTCTCGATGATTAATACAGATTCTGGTGATGAGGAAGATGATGAAGAAGATGATGACTTCAATGACTCTGATGATGACTTTGATTATTCTGATGACGATTCCAATGAGTTCACAAGTATTGAGGATCTGGATTAATCCTTCCGTTAAAGTGCTGCAAAACTATATTTCTTATTGGATGACTTGTATGAAAGGACTCAAATTAAGGTAATTGGGAACATTGTAACTTAAGTTTCCTATCACATGAAATTCTAAGTTGATGTTGCTGTGCATTTAATGATTGTTAGTTTACTTCTTGGGAAATTATTTTTGGCTTTGTTTTGTGTCCTAGCAACTAATTCCACATATCTCATCAAACAATGGGTCATGGAGAGGCCTTCATGTTGTAGAGCCTTTGATAATCAGTAATAGCATCACTGATTTGTACATTTCTGTAATTTAGCTCCCTCTCTGGCATGCTTACCTATTTTTGTCTCATGATTGTTTATTTTTATTTCAATTTATTGAGTTCTTCTTTGTTCAACCTTCTCCAAGTTTTTTTTTTCCCTCTTTTGTTTTGGGAAAGAAGTCCCTTAGGGGAAAAATTAGGGATCCCACTTGCTTGGGGTGAGTATCGATCTTCTCTTATAGGGGTGGAAGGAGGGCCTCCAATCACTAGGCCAACCTTAATTCTCCAACCAAACTTCTCCAAGTGGTCTGACAATCTAGCATAGTCTCTTTCGATAAAGATATTTTGCTAACATATAAAATGCCTAAATTGATATTCAAACAAATCTATCCAATTACAAACGTGGACCTTTTTTTTTTTGGTTGTTTTTTGTTTGAAGGAATTACTAACTTGGACATGGACTTATACATTGACAGAACTCTCCAGTTATGAGAGACCTGGATATTCATCAATAAACATGATAACTGTCCGAAATTGTGGTGCCGTTTCATAGCGTCATCTTCAGCCTTTGCTGCTGAGGTGCATCTGATCTGTGTCTGCCATCCATGTACAGCAGTACATACCCATTCTCCACAAGGCTTCTAGTCTGACAAGGAAGCCTGGATTAAGGAAACATCTACAAACACAAGGAACTCTTTATGGGAAAGAGAGAGAGAGAGAGAGAGAGAGAGAGAGAGAGAGAGAGAGAGAGAGAGGGGGGGGGGGTGGGGAGCAGAATTGGGTTTTTGGCGGAATCAGGGGGGTTATGGTCTTATGGATGTTATCCTGTTACTGCCGTTTCAAGTTTTCGTAATTGCAGTTGTTGCTAATGTTGCTATAAATGAACCTTTGACAACTTTCCTTGCTGTTGTAAGTGCTTAACATTGATGCAATATCATGCTATTTTGATTCCTGTCTGTTATAAAATCTACAGCTAAAGTGTTTCATGTAGATTGCTGAGCGAGTTGCTTGTATCTACTAGGACTGCATCCCTCTATAATCATATTCACTGCAAAACCAATTTTATGAGGGCTTCCATAATATCAACTAATTACTTAAGAGAATTCGATATCATCTTATAGAATCCTGCAACATACTTGGCCTCAACCCTCAAGCCTCGAACTTGCCAACTGTGAAAGCAAATCGAGTAGCTAATATGGCTGCATCTATTTCCAGATCGTTGAGAGACTATACCCGGTCAATTTGTAATTTAAATCTTCTATACTTTTGAGACAAACTAGATTTCTAAATTTAATTTTCTTCCCTTTGTAATTTAGATTATTCTGTATTTTTAGATAAATTCTGTATATGTACCACCGAGTGCCTTTGCAAAATTGCAAGTGCACAAAATTCACAAATCTATTAATTAAAAGCCTCTTCATCTA